AACAATAAAGCAGTCTGTCCATACCTATAAAGACCAAAATTTGTTTAAATCTCTCTTTTTAGCGTTAAGCATTTGGAATTTAATAATACGGTAATATTGTATATCAAATCAAAAAAGTACCATTTGTTTTACAATAATTGAAAGTTTAAGTAATAATATAAAAATATAGATATAAATAATCAATAAAAATTCCTCTTTAACTATGTATTAGTTATATTTAATTTTAAACCAACTAAAAATAAAAATGTTTTGTTATTTTTCCTTCTATAAATCTAAAAGTTTCATTTGATTTGCAAAAAGTTTAATTTCCACTGCAAAAGGTTTCATTTCGGCTGCAATAGGTTTCATTTCCACTGCAAAAGGTTTCATTTAATCTGAAAATGCTATATGTTTTTTATAGTTATATACCTTGCCGATTTTTAAAATGCAAGTGTGGATTATGAAAAAGTGACGATTTTTCGTCAAAGTTTATTGGCAGCCCTGATCGAAGCCGTTTTTGGTACGACCAAAGTTTACGCCTTTTCTACTCGTTTTTAATAACTTTAAGAAAATATAACTCATTGTAGAAAACCTCCAAATAAACCTCCTTTTCCATTGTTTCTTCCAAAATCTGGCGTTTACTAACATCTCTCCTCTATATAAGCGCTTGTTCGGGGAATGCAGCAGAAGCTGGTACTGCTTCAAATTCTGGCTGCAGATATACACTGCACCAGCATCTGATTTGCCCGCATTTTGTCATAAATCAAGTTTAGGTCACAACAAAAATAAAAACGTCCCAATCTACATCGACGGGGAATACGTAATTGGGTAAGGTCGCAGAAGATCAGCGTTGTGGTCCCCCGAATTGAAACTTTTCTTCGTAAATGACACAACAATCATAATTAGGAAAACCCAGAGGAAGAATAATGGAGGTTATTCCAAATGCCGAAGAAGATAAAGAGGGTGAGCGTTCCTTCGAGATCAACGCATGAACTTTCTTGTTCTCTGATATTAAGTGTCGACTGTCGAGTGAATTTAAGATTCGATCATCCACATTTCCTCTCTTTCACATGAAATTTAATGGTAGAGTGTTATGTCGGCTTGTTGAATATAATGTAGTTCGTCTCTGACGTATCTACAACTATGCCCGGCCTGGATGCTCATTCAATTGGAATTTTCTTAAACTTTGACACAAATGATGTAAGAATAACCACCATTAACAAGCACGGCTTAGTGGACTGTGCGAGTCACTACGAGTCACTTGAGGAAGAAAAGCGGGAAAGAGCAACAAACGAATGCCACCATCAATTAAACATAATTTCTGGTACATAAAAGTTAATTGAAATTAAATATGACATTTACATTATACGCCGAATAACTTGAGTACCGAATTACACGACTGAGAACAGATGTGTGTACAAATTTTAGAACAGATTATACATGCATACATACAATCGCATGTTTTCTACACGCAGCCAAAAGCACGAAATTATCAAATTTATGAATTGGGCTCTGGATGATAAAATTCAAGGGGTGAATGTTAAAATTGCTGAAAATCTTCGGCTTGGGGCTATGCTGGTGCATAGCGCAAGACTTCACAGGCGATGTGAAGCAGGCTACCCCATCCGACGCAACGAAAGTAGCAGATCAAAGGGTACTCGAATCTGTGAGAGACTGTCTCGATTTGTAACTTCTGAATGGTGTACATTTTAATGTGAACACCTGACTGAGGCTGTGGTGACAAACATCAAATAATGGAAACTAAAGTGGAAATGAAAGCCTTTTGGTCCGATGATGATTATGGATTTTTTTGATTGCCTGCACTTAAACCGGCTATTCCCAGTCACTTCGATTTTTCGTTGCGGTCTGGTAATTTAGTTGCTGGGGTCTTTCAATTACCTCGTGTACAAACTAAAAGTTCACTGATTTCAGCAGCCGATTGATTTACCAGCCACAAAACACACTGGTTTCGGGCATACTTGTGGTCGGAAATACGCAGGCAGAGGCAAAACCGCAAAATACCTTAAAAATGTTCAGATCTTCTCTGCCCGCCCGCGACTCTAAAATCGGTGCTCAGCGATTTTGCCAGTGGAGCGGTGGAAGCAGCTGTAAACTTGAATACAAAAAATAATTGTAATGGGACGGAGATTACTAATTTACACCCTAAAGATGTAAAACGCTTGTGTATAGATGCTTACAGATATGCCTAGATACAGTTGCCGACATGACGTAATTTACCTTGAATCGTGTTATAAAAGAGACCGATCCAATTTCTAACTGGCGAGTGGAACCTACAAAGTCGGTTGTTTGTTTGTCTAGCCTTATGAAGTCATTCAACTCCACTCGACAGTATTTAGGTATGCGGCTTCTAATGGCCACAGTACATTTTTAAAGTCTCGTTAACGAAAGTAGTTCAGGCGAATCTCGTGGTGGCCAAGAGCAACTAGTTGGATTTTATTAGCGCAATTTATGTTTGCTTATTCTTCTTCTCGTTCCTCCTATGTACTGGCCAGAAAGCCCGAAAATTTCACAGAGAACTAGAAACATATATATATACTATGTTTACATTTATTGTTTGTTGTTTTTGTTTTGTTTTGTGTTCGACGAATCTAACATCCACAAAATACAGCGCTTCTGTCCATCTGATATTTAATTTTATTATTTCAAAAACCCGTTTGCGTTCAACCGATCGACCATTGTTGGCATTCTTCTATGTGTGTATGTGTACTCTGTACGTACATGTGGATATGGTAATAATGCATATTATTTATAAATTACGAATATTTAACAAAACAATTGGGAGGACGCATTCCACCGCTGAGGGCTGTTTTTTCATTCCGCAAAGAGTGTGGTGTTCGCCTAACTTGCACTGTAAGTTCTTCCAGCTATTTTGACCACATCTGAGGAAAGTATTCAACAGCACGTCGTACTGCCAAGTATGAGTTAACAAAAAAAAAAACAAAGTTGAGCTTTTTGGAAAGGTAAAACTCCCCTTCCCCTCAACGAGCCACGATCAAGTTTTTGTTTTGACCAACTATTCCACCAACGTTATGTGTCTAAAACCGGTTTGGAAAGAGCATCAAAGTGTAGCACGTGTTCCGATGTTCCAGAGTTGCCAACGAAGCAGTACTTCGGATGATAAAAGCATGGCACAATAAGAGGGTAGAATTAATCCGTGAATCTTAACCTTCTGCTAAAACACAAGTGCTCGCTCTCTTTTTAGGGGAAATGTGACAAAATGGTCGGACGGCATTTGGGCAAAACAACTAAAGATGAAATTGCAATTTGTTATAACTTCAGGTTAGTCGATTCCCAATAAGAATTTGCTCTCTCAATTATCGTATTCAGATGGTAGCTTTGCAATACCACCTTTTGAGTGTAACATGGCTGAGAACTCTACGTCTGTGTCTGTTTACTCTTCGAGACCGGTCGATGTTTGTAAACAAAAAGACACGACGCGCTGGCTGGAAATTTATGGCACACATTGATCGTGACACCCGGCAGTAGTTAAGCATCGATTGAATTTAAGTGCGCCGTGAAATTTGGAGATGTGGTCGTCATCATAGGTTTCATGTTAATTCCAATGGTCGTCCATTTGCCTCAGTGTTAGTGTAATTGTCTGTAGCGGTTGATACAATTTGTGTAAATGTACACGCTACATGTGTATGAAAACAAGTCATATGATAAAGATTCGAGGTCGTCAAATACTTAGGCCGCATAGAAAACTTGTTATTTCAGCTTTTGTAGGCACTCCATGAAGTTCGTGCTACAAGGTCCATGTGCGAACCAATGGGGACTGGTGTTACAGGTCAGAAGGGGGATGAGATGTCTATTCATGGTAGCCGACCTCTAGCCTAGAAAATTTGGTATTGAAAGTTCGTAATGGGTAGTAAAGCCTATTACAAAAAATGCGTATGTAGGTCCACATCTTCGTATTGCCGACATATAACGGTACCTCCTTTCATTCGGCATTTTGATTATATTAGCGACATTTTTCACCGGAATCGTTTTAAATTTCATATTTTCGTAGCAGGTTCCACTTAAACGATACTTTTCTGCTGTTTTTTAAATTTACAACCGAAGAAAAATAACTCAATATGCCTCAGGACCAAATACCATCGCATTGGCGGAGGTATTTGTATGCTGCATTTGGTATGTCGTATCAAATATCATTGCTATAGGGTGCATATTATGTCTTTGACAAGATTTAAAGAAGTGGGCAGAATGGTTCCATGAAGTTCGTGCTACAAGGTCCATGTGCGAACCAATGGGGACTGGTGTTACAGGTCAGAAGGGGGATGAGATGTCTATTCATGGTAGCCGACCTCTAGCCTAGAAAATTTGGTATTGAAAGTTCGTAATGGGTAGTAAAGCCTATTACAAAAAATGCGTATGTAGGTCCACATCTTCGTATTGCCGACATATAACGGTACCTCCTTTCATTCGGCATTTTGATTATATTAGCGACATTTTTCACCGGAATCGTTTTAAATTTCATATTTTCGTAACAGTTTTCACTTAAACGATACTTTTCTGCTGTTTTTTAAATTTCCAACCGAAGAAAAATAACTCAATATGCCTCAGGACCAAATACCATCGCATTGGCGGAGGTATTTGTATGCTGCATTTGGTATGTCGTATCAAATATCAATGCTATAGGGTGCATATTATGTCTTTGACGAGATTTAAAGAATTGGGCAGAATGGCAAATTGCCGAAATGTCGAAAACGTCAATTGAATGTTTCGGTGTGTTGTTTTTGTTTTTAATTTACGTACGTTGTACGTTGACACCACACATTCGTGACAAGTAGCAGTGGCCAAAATCGGCGCTAGTGTTTCTTTGTGTGGCACTCACTATGAGCTATAACCGTCAATGTCTTTTGCATGGCCACAACATCATGCAAAATTTTGTAACTTTAGGGTATTTTTTTCTCGCAAGTGTATGTATGTACTTCGAAATTGTATCTACGTCTAGACTGTATGAGTCTATGACTTGAAATAATGAATTTGGCTTTTTTTAGATGAATGTCAATCGACAGCCACCTGGTCGCCGAACGACCGCTATGTCAATACTTTTGCGGCTAATGCTAACTGGGCTGATGGGCATCCCATGTATTGAGGCGGCCGTTCATCCTGTTCTGACGTATAAAAACACATCCACAGCATTGGGACAACTTGTAACGTCCAGCACACTGGTATGGGAAACCTATGATGCGAAGAACAGCAATCAGCTGCAGTACGCGGTCGAGGGTGGAAAATACATTAGCGAGGAGGAACACTACCCCATCTATGTGTGTCGGGTGACAATCGAGGGAGTGACGACCAGCGGTCATACGGAGAAGATACAACAGTCACATGTGTGTGTAGCGGCCCACTATAAAAATAAGAAGTACGAGCACTTTGATGTCCTGATAAACAAGGGCCATTTGGGGAAAGTATCGTGGAAGCAATGGCGGAAGTTTAATCTGGGCGTGCCTGTGGGCGCCATACGTATCGGCGAAGATTCCTATATTGCCAGACACAAGTCAACTCAACAGCAGAACGTGCAAGAGGGCGAGGTGTTCCAGGGGGCCGACTACAATTTGGGGCGCTTAGATCCCGCCGGTTTGGGCAAAATTAAAGCTATGGAATCGGATCGTGAAAAGGACTACGACGAAGGCGAAGTTTTGGTCGAGACCGAACCGTTCCGCTATGAACTTCGCGACATTCGCCTGGACCAAATTCGAATGGACACTAGGGATAATGTGACCGAACTGGGTAAGAACAATTTTTATGTCGTCACAAAATATTCGGGCCTTAATTAATCCGTTCTTTTTTAACGGTTTCAGCCTCCGGTATACTGGCCAACAAAATTGACAAGTATATTCTTGTGGAGACGGTGTTGTCATATGACTATGATTATGTACAGTATTGGGGTTCTCATGAGGGTGTGGCACGTGGATTACCCACCAAGGTGTATGAGAAGGACTCGTCCAGCTCTACAGAAATCTATTGGGGCTTAAAATACAGCGAAAAACGCGTGGAAACCAAATCCGTGCAAACAAAGTTGTGGCCAGGCACAGCTATCAACGTAACCCTGAAAGGGAATTATGTGACCTTGGAAGCACCCTACTCAGCCAAATTGTATGCATTCTATGCCGGCAGTGAGGACAGCATATCGAGAAAAATACTATCAGAGGTAAGTCGGTTTGTTAGAATGTCTATTTATGCTATAAGACATTGGTCTCTATCGGTTTTGCAGGTTCGTAAATCGTACTTGAAGGATGTCAAGCTAGAGTTTAGTCCGGTGTATTGGATAGAAAATGGAACATTTGTGCCAACAACCACCACAACATCGACCACTTCCACCACAACGCATGCCACCACAACAGCTGGTAATCCAACACCCATCCACGAACCGCCAGTAGTGCTGATGAAGGATCTAAGTGATACGAATTCGGCGGCTGGCTCTTTGGAATCTTCCATGTTAGATTCCCCGGCCAGCAATGAGATACCCCATGACAAACCAGATAATCTCGCTGAACATCATCCAAAGCCCGCCATGACTGGCATTGATTTGCCACACAATTCAGCTGCTTCAACGTCGCTAGCACAAGCGTTGGCGTATATCGTATGCTTTATAATCTCCGTAAATCTGGGTATTTAGATTAAGTCTGTTGTCGCGCTTTCACTCTCTAACATTAGAATATGAATTGGACGACTTCCCAGTCCGATCAATGCTAGGTTTGTCTTGATTTAAAACTGTAAAGACGTGATGTCAAATAATGAGGAAAAGCAGCGGGGAGGGATCATTTTCAGTCATTAATCTTCATCCCTGCTCTCAACACATTCCCAGGTCCAATCACACTCACACACACTATTAATTTAATTTAGGATAGCATTAACATATTATTTTTCTTGTTGTTGTACCTGTTGTAGACCCATTGTATCTGCGTAGCTGTAGCCAACAGAGATTGGTTAACAAATCGCGTACGATGGGTAATGAGGAAGCAAATAATTGAATGAAATGCGAAGCAAAGGAACCGTAGACGCCGATATTATTGTATTTCTCTCCAGTCTCAACGATGAATAATCGCATCGATAGCAGTTAAACTCACATCCTTATGCAGAGATTCTATCTGATTTATGCCCGTTTTCGATCCTGTGTTTCTATTTAACGAACAAAAAAAAAAAAAAAATCCGACAAAATACCAACTGTCAAAGTGGAATCACTCCCTGCAATTCTGATACAAAGTGACGAACAATCAATCGCCCCACATTTTGATATTTCAAATTTATTTTCATGTGGTCCAAACATAACGATAATACTGTTAGGCAGGCGCGTAAAAATAAGCTAGAGTTAAATTAGAATGTTAAAAGCAAGCCGTTCCAAGCATACAAACATGCATACAAATGTATATTCGAATGCTACACTTTGTCCAAACCGGAAGATGCCTTGGCGTGTTATATGCAGAGTCTGGCTGGGCGTAGAATCAGATGTACCGTATGGAACCGTAAAAACACAGACCAAAATAACGATACGAAATAGCCACAATTTGTTAGTTTTACTCGTACTCGAAACATTCCCAAAAAATATTTTTACAAAATGAAAACGATTCTTTTATAGCTTTTAAGCGATTTACGACATTTTTGCAAAAGACAAAAATCAAAATTATAATTGTAAAATAATAAAACACTAATGAATGGTATATATACATACATAAATATACATATTAATATAAATTATAATACAATAAATTTACATAACTTATTTAATATTGTACGTAACTACTAGAGCTTGAGTTTTAATTTCTTAAAAGAGATTTCAATTTGATGCTTTACTTGTAAAAATAAACACATTCATACGTTTTTTACAATGGTATTTTCTTTATTTCGTCTGCAAACCTGTTATAGGATATTCCCATAGATATCGGCATTAGAAATAGCGAAATAATGCAACAATAAAACAGCACCTTTGAATACGGCCGGATATTACAAATTATCCCAGCGAATAAAAGTAACTAACTTTAGAGATTCGGAGCGGTATACCTAAATATGCCATCTGCACTTATAAAATGTGATGTAAGAATCCGATTGTCTTAAAATTTTACACATCCCAATATGCAGTTAGCGTTTTCAAAAAACAATATAGTGGCTGGTGCCGTTATATAAAATTGTATATTATATATTGTAGAGCCCATTATGAAGTACAATTACCAAATTCACACAAGTCTATTAGAAAATGTGACTTAAATCGTCAAAATACCGCATATCCGGAGGGACCGTTATATGTGCGCTATTGGAAAACTCTTCTGCCACCGGATCTGGAACCCATTACTATATTTTTTATAGGTTGTAGTTCCCATTAATATCTTCCAATACGAGTTTTGAAATAATTCTGATCTATGATGTTGCTTAAATGATCAAAATACCGAATATTGAGATGTACCGTTATATGGAAGCTATGCGAAAACGTGGAACGCCAAGACCCAAATACACATGTATACAAAATTGTAGCCTCCTATCTCAATTCGTTCGAAAGATAGCGTGATTCCAAGAGACAGACGGGCATCTCCAAATCGACTTAGAAGTTTACGCTGATGAAGAATATAAAACATTTGTTGGGTCTGACATTAGTATTTCGAAGAGTTACAAACGGAATGCTAAAGTATATATGCACTCCATAGTATGGTGGAGGGTATAAAAAATGAAAAGGTCCGAATATTTTTTATCTATGTGATTCTGCTCTTTATATATATATATATATATATATATATATATATATATATATATATATATATATATATATATATATATATATATATATATATATATATATATATATATATATATATATATATATATATATATATATATATAAATTGTAGCCTCCTATCTCAATTCGTTCGAAAGATAGCGTGATTCCAAGAGACAGACGGGCATCTCCAAATCGACTTAGAAGTTTACGCTGATGAAGAATATAAAACATTTGTTGGGTCTGACATTAGTATTTCGAAGAGTTACAAACGGAATGCTAAAGTATATATGCACTCCATAGTATGGTGGAGGGTATAAAAAATGAAAAGGTCCGAATATTTTTTATCTATGTGATTCTGCTCTTTATATATATATATATATATATATATATATATATATATATATATATATATTTTTTTTTTTTTTTTTTTTTTTATACCCTCCACCATCCTCCCGATATTCGGTATTTTGACTATTATAGCGGAATTGTTTCAAATTTGGTGTTTGTCATTATGAGTACTACAGCCTATGAAAAATATTGTATATGCACGTCCACGTCTTCGTACAGCACCCATATAACGGTACCTCTCGATAGTCGATATTTTGAGGATTTCAGCAACATCATTCACCGGAATCGATTCAAATTTCGTACTGGAAGTTCCTAATGCATACTACAGCCTATGACAACAATGTTTTGTATGCAGGTCCAAGTCTTCGTATAGCCCCCATATAACGATACCTTCCGATATTCGGTATTTTGATGATTTCAGCAATATTATTCACCGGAATTGTTTCAAATTTCCTACTGAAAGATCCTAATGGGTACTACAACCTAAGACACAAAATTGTCTGTGCTGGTCCACGTCTTCGGTACCTCCCGATACTCCGTATTTTCATGATTTTTGCGACATTATTCACGTAATTGTAAAAAAATTCCGTATTTGAAGTTCGTAATGGGCACTTGTTTTAATTAGATAAATTACTGAAAGAATTCAACTGCAGCTTTATGTGGCATAGGAGCACCCTGGCTTATGTGCATCTATTCTTCTCATCAGACGTAGTGCTATGAAATTGTGGGTGACAGAGTATAATGCTCGAGTGGAAATACAGAACAGCGATGTCGTCGCACTAGCTGAATATCAAGCAGCTAGCTCGTGTTAATTGTAACGCAGAACATGTTAATTTGGTTTTGAAAAACGACAAAGCCGAGTTCTGTTGAACGATTTCAGACAATAGAAACGGCGGACGTCGTTCGCTTTACACTGTCATTGGGAAATCAAACCGGTTTTTTCAAATACAAACAGAATATTCATAAATGATGAACAAACATCAGGCGTTGATGCATTCATTTCTGTAAGGGTATGACATAACCAACAAAGTATCTGTAGTATCTGTATACATTCATACATCGGTTAAAAAGTATATGAGTTATTGCAGGTTCTCCGGACAACAGCAAACTGTACATACTTACGTACGTATAATAAAAGTATGATTGTAATAGACTCGGAAAAATCATCCGTTGCGTTTCGAAATTGACGATTGACATAGGGCAGCAGCTGAATATTATGGTAGCAACTTTGTTGTTGAAGTACGGTGTGGTACAGCGTTGTATTCATTTGGCTGTTACAGTCGGTTGAGATTTTGAAATTGTACAAACTACCGAGATTTAGCTGGACACATGTTATCATTTATACAAGGCAGCTGCAAGTGCGGACTTTTTCTGTGGAACTACATAATGGAACCCAGCAAAAACTTGGAAGCCCTATGAACCGAATAACCCATTAAAATGTCTTGTTAAAAACTGGTTTCTGCCTCGCCAGAAGGTTGAAAATAACGGCTAACAAAAACATAAAAGATACAAAGCGAAGAAACTTAAATTTGTCACTAATCGAATTCGAGACTCGAGACGTAGAAAAAGAAAAGAATATACGATATTTTGTTGATGTTTGGTACATACAGTTGAGGGAACGTTGATTCTAAAAATAAAACAAATTCTTTTTTCTGTAAATTCGTACTAAATGGTATTAATGCGGAAAGTGACAAATATTACGCAAAAATACTAAGTCCACATCCCAGATATTAAACGATCAGCTACTGCAAATATGTTTGCGTTTTACATTTCAGGCAACCCACCATAAGGAGTGGAGAGGAGCAAGTAACTACACAATACGATGTAAGTTGTGACTTCGATCCCAAACAGCAAATATGATTTTTTGACACATTCGGAAAAAAGTTCAGAAAAGGGAAAAATCTAAACGTTACTTGCTATTTTGATATTGAATCGATTTCGAGACAACAACTCCATCTTTAGGTAAGACATATTTCAGGCCGTAGGCAGAATTTCAAAATAACTCAGTTGAGATAGAATATTACACATTTTCAGCTCTAGTCTGTATTTGCTTGCTATGACATGTCAATGTTAAAGTACGGACATAGGATGCCTTTGTGCCTAAATGTACTTGATAAAGTTGATCTTTTAAAACCCATGTAGAACTCCGGCTTGGGAATACAACCGAAGATATCAGTTCAGATATATCCGAAAACTCGGAGTGATTTAGATAGGCGAGAGTGTTGAAAAAACGTCATTGCAGGAGAACGTTTTGGTATAGCACTATATAATTGAACCTCCCGATGTTTGTGATTAGGTATTCCGAATTCTTTATGGATTTTCAACAAATTACCAGAAAATTTGCAGTTAGATCCCGTGCCATAAGGATTTCATAACATCCATGCGATGGGGCGCAAAGGGGGCCGGGCCCGCTGATGTTGGTATTGTATAGAAACATACGTCTTTGTTTGGAGTTTTCCAACATTTTTATATTTTCCGTTTCATTGATTTAAAGAGCCTTTAGAGTGTATGTCTATGTGTGTGTGTGTGTGTGTGTGTAGTATCGTCGTCAGAGCATGTTTGCAACACTCATTCATTTATCCTAGAGGGACCTTCTAAGCGCCCAAATACAACTACCGATACATAAATTATGTATTCATGTGTTTATATATTTGTGTATGCGCGTTCCAGCTACCCAGACACGTTGAAGCTAAATGAATGAGTTTGTGCAGGTGTTCGAACATAAAATTGTATCGGTATTTCATCAATGCAAACGGTGATGCGGCCTGCTCAGCAAGGATGAATGACTGACATCCTGGGTACTTCGCAAATGTCGCGAATGCTGGCGAGAACAAGAATGCTCCTCCATTGAGACTTGTCGATTGAAGGTACGTAGTAGCGGAGCGGTAGTAAAGCATCAAATGTAAAGTGCTTTTGTACAGATGTGGTTGTGCCTATAGCGCATGTCATGCCAAACATATGCCGCACAAATCAAATCGCTCTTAGGGGGATTGTAAAGAGAAACGTATAGGATTTCCGTCTGGCGTTTTGAGAAGCGTCGAATTCTGGGAATGTGATTCTCTTTATGATTATATTTAACGAACTCATTACAGCCTCCTGGGCGTTCAACAGGATACTGTCCATGTACGCGAATATGACAAGTCCCTACCGCTATTGGAAAAGGAAAGCGAGCCGTTAGGCGTTACCAATATTTTGAAGTCCGTTGCACTTGGGTGAATGGAAGGAAATTAAGTCAAAATCGACACAACACGCTTATTGGATTCGCTTTGTTGTCGCTTTCTGCCTTCATATATATTTCATTGTTCCAAACATAACTAGCGCAGTACAATCAGTTGTAATTGTAAGAGGCTTGTCTTAAAAATCCTGTGTAGATTTGTTGGTAAATTTACATCAAATAGGAAAGTAAATGTACCTTTGGGTTGGTGAATTTCGACCGGTTTGGTCCATGGTTCTATGGATTTCTTAAATTTAATAATTTATGCACCACATGATGATATGTTGGTAAATTTACATCAGAAAGGAATGTAAATATAACTTTTGGTTGGTGAAATTCGATCGATTTTGTCCCCGGTACTATGGTGAAGTTGTTTATTCCGTTTTGGCGCGGAGCGTAGAAAACTCTCTTGAATGTGAAAAATACTAAAACGACCTGGTGATTCCGGCTTAAACAAATCACTTTTCGAACAATTGGACTCGATATATATTCCCTTGCATGTGGCGGCCATCCACTGTGGGTTTTTTTTTGGTTCATCGGCACATCGTTAAGGATAT